CAAAATGTATTCTGCTACATGTCTTTGCTAAAAAAAAAATCCCAATACGTGTAAATTAATTGGTTTATGTGAAAGTTATAATGTTTTCAAAGGGCAGTATATATACTGGAATTTTTTTTTTTTAGTAGTAATGGTGGTGATTGGCAACTTATAGCAGGACTGTGGCGGGTATTCTGACACTGGGGGAAACTGACTTGGTGTCACTGACATCCCCAGCAAAATCAATACAGTGATCAGTGCTAAAAAAAAAAAAAACAGTGACACTGTACTAATGGCACTGGGCAGGAAGGGGTTACCATGAGGGGCGATCAAAGGGTTAACTGTGTGCTGGGAGTGTTTTACCAGGGTCAATGTGTTGGTGCTTCACTGTAAGCACACTGCTCTGGATGGCTGTGCTGTGCACAGCCATCCAGAGCAGTGTGCCCAAGCCGACAGGGAGTAGGACTGTTAGTAAACAAAGCAGCCCTCCTCCCCGTTTAAGATCCTCGGTAATCACCAGGTGCCGGCGGGTAATCACCAGCCGGGACCCGGTGATTGACAGCCGCGGCCGTGAATGGCTGTGCGGGTAGGGCGCACGCACGCCACACGTGCGCCCCCTACCCGGAAATATATAAAGTTGTGTTCAAAATAATAGCAGTGTGTGAAAAAAGTGAATAAAGCTCAAAATCCTTCTAATATTTTTTATTTCCATACACACAAATGCATTGGGAACACTACACATTCTATTCCAAATCAAAACATGAAGAAAAATATATCAAATTTGTGTTATTCCTCTAAAAAAATTGAAAAAAAGTGAATATTAGACTGTTCAAAAAAATAGCAGTGTTTGTATTCTTTACAAACTCAAACATTCACTATATAAAACTGAAAAATGTTTGAAGATTTTGCTTTCCTTTGAATCACTTAATGAATATTTAGTTGTATAAGCACTGTTTCTGAGAACTGCTGTACATCTGTGTTGCATGGAGTCAACCAACTTCTGGCACCTGTGAACAGGTATTCCAGCCCAGGATGATTGGACTACATTCCACAGTTCTTCTCTATTTCTTGGTTTTGCCTCAGAAACTGCATTTTTGATGTCACCCCACAAGTTTTCTATTGGATTAAGATCCTGGGATTGGGCTGGCCACTCCATAACGTCAATCTTGTTGGTCTGGAACCAAGATGTTGCACGTTTACTGGTGTGTTTGGGGTCGTTGTCTTGTTGGAACACCCATTTCAAGGGCATTTCCTCTTCAGCATAAGGCAGCATGACCTCTTCAAGTGTTCTGATGTATTCAAACTGATCCATGATCCCTGGTATGCGATAAATAGGCCCAACACCGTAGTATGAGAATCATCCCCATATCATGATGCTTGCGCAACCATGCTTCACTGTCTTCACAGTGTACTGTGGCTTGAATTCAGTGTTTGGGGGTGTCTGACAAACTGTCTCCGGCCACTAGACCCAAAAAAAACAATCTTACTTTCATCAGTCCACAAAATGTTGCACCATTTCTCTTTAGGCCAGTGAATGTGCTCTATGGCAAATTGTAAACTCTTCAGCACGTCTTTTTTTCAACAGTGGGACTTTGCGGGGGCTTCTTGCAGATAGCTTGGCTTCACATAGGCGTCTTCTAATTGTAACAGTACTCACAGGTAACTTTAGACCTTCTTTGATCTTCCTGGAGCTGATTGTTGGCTGAGTCCTTGCCATTTTGGCTATTCTTCTATCCATTCAAATGGTAGTTTTTCGCTTTCTTCCACGTCTTTCAAGTTTTGGTTGCCATTTTAAAGCATTTGCGATCATTTTAGCTGAGCAGCCTATCATTTTCTGCACTTCTTTATATGTTTTCCCCTCTCCAATCAACTTTTAAATCAAGGTACACTGTTCTTCTGAACAATGTCTGGAACAACTCATTTTCCTCAGAATTTCAGAGAGAAATGCACTGTAACCAGCATGTACAACATTTTCTGCCTTCCTTCCTTCCTTAAATAAGGGCAATAATTTCCACCTGTTTTCCAAAGAATGAATGACCTCACTAATAGAACTCCACACTGCTATTATTTTGAACATGCCCTTTTCAATTTGTGATTCAATTACACAGAATCAGCAGCATGCATGTCATGACTGTTGGATTTCTATTACTCTACTACACCTGCTAGTAAATTATTTGCCATGTAGAAATATCATTTCTACCAAAAACAGTGATTGATCAGGTTAGTGGTGTGTGTGTGTGTGCGCGTGTGCGTGCGTGCGTGCGTGCTGTATATCTGCTATAGGGAGGTCGGGAAGCGGATAATAAAGTCTTTTCCTATATATTAGTCTGATGTAATCTCTGCAATAAATACAGGAAACAGCAGTCTCACTGATGAGCTGCCATGGATATTTTTGGACCTATTGACTTTTTAGTATAATCCTTTACCCCCAGAGCACATTCACATGTATGATTTTGTTGAAGCTTAGCTGTAACCTTACAATATAAAATGAAATAAACGAGCGCTGGGTAAATGGATGCACATAAAAGCTGCTTGCATAAAAGGTAAACCTCTAGAACCTGTTCATAAATATATAGACAAAAAACTATGCAGCGCTAAAAGCAACAATAAAATGCAATGAATAATGTAAATCATAGCCATATATAGTGCACAGTATAGAATAAACCAAATGTGAAAAAAGCACTCAATGACGTTAAGATCATAGGTGTCCACTATCTTGTATATAGATACGTCTAAGGTGCATAAAGTGATAATGGTGACAAAGTCAATCTCTCTGAAATCAAAACATCATGGTGAAGAAATCAGTGACTCCTGTGGTGGTGGGAGATAAGTGTTGATTGCACTAGCCAGATAGTGCAAATTGTTGCACATTGGAGTATATATGGGACCTACTCCTGGTCATCTGTATCTGGAACACTGTACCATCAGGGTCATCAGATCAGCAGCATCCAGGTAAGCCACATCAGAGGGGGATAGCTCATCTCCGGGTATTCAATCATCAGCCACCAGGGGGATCACACACGTTCACACATGATCGATCAACAGGAGTACCTTAGAAAGGGGGGGGGGGGGGCTCGCAGGACAAACCCAACCCATAAGAAGAAGTCTCCAATAGTGTAGTATTTATTGATCAAGTAATAGTCAGAAACAGATAAATGAACTTACATCAAAAAAAAATCCAAAATGGCTTTTTTTTTATGTAAGTTCATTCATCTGTTTCTGACTATTACTTAATCAATAAATACTACACTATTGGAGACTTCTTCTTATGGGTTGGGTTTGTCCTGCGAGCCCCCCCCAACCCCTCTTCTAAGGCACTCCTGCTCATCAAGCATGTGTGAACGTGTGTGATTACCCCTGCTCTAGTGGCTTATGATTGACTACCCGGAGATGAGCTGTCCCCCTCTGATGTGGCTTACCTGGATGCTGCTGATCTGATGACCCTGATGGTACAGTGTTCCAGATCCAGATGACCAGGAGTAGGTCCCAAATATACTCCAATGCGCAACAATTTGCGCTATCTGGTTAGTGCAATCAACACTTATCTCCCACCACCACAGGAGTCACTGATTTCTTCACCATGATGTTTTGATTTCAGAGAGATTGACTTTGTCACCATTATCACTATATGCACCTTGGACATATCTATACACAAGACAGTGGACACCTATGATCTTAACATCATTGAGTGCTTTTTTCATATTTGGTTTATTCTATACTGTGCACTATATATGGCTATGATTTACATTATTCATTGCATTTTATTGTTGCTTTTAGCGCTGCATAGTTTTTTGTCTATATATTAGCTGTAACCTTACCTGCGCCATTCTCGATAATTCTCTGTATTACAAATGTGCACAGGCATATCTAGGGCTGAACAGAAGGCAGTTAAATGTTATGGCCTTCTGGTCACTGCTCACATGGAATATTCATGTTCACTGCCAATCTTATTCTAGTTGGGTAGAATGAACTACGTGCATTCAAGTAGCATTCAATTCCTGCAGAATACGCTCACAAAAACTTTATGTACAAAGTATAAACAGAAATAACCCCCTTTGGGACTTTAATGCAGCTGACAAACCAGTACACTTATATTCATAAAAAAGATTTTTTTACTCATATACTTTATTGTACAGAATTGTTATTAAAGAATACATTGCACTTTAAAAACACACTGGCTCTGATAGCTACTCCAGGGATTTATTCCCTTTGTAAGATTACAACAATACAACATTCCCAAAAAAAACGCTGGCTTACTTTGTTGGAGGTGGTTTCTCATTAGACACTGGACAGATTGGTGGAAGTGTGGAGAGAGATTTTGTTGAACAATCACTTAGGGGTTTGGACTTCTTTTCCCTTCTTCTTAGGTGGTGATGAGGCAACTGGGTATAGCCTCTGGCCCACTGGAATTCTTGGTATCTTTTCTACAGAACAAGGAATATTCTAGCTCATTGTGTCCATCAGTTCTGCCCCATATACAAAGGATATGGAGGGTGATCTGACTTTCTCTCTCTGACACCAATATTACGAGATGGGTATATGATCACTCTTGTCCTCCTGATTGTTTACACCATCGAATGTTGGACCACGCAATCCCATCTTGAACACCAGTATTTTTTAAGATTGCTCTGATAAACATTGACAGCTTAACTATTTTGTAAGTATGAAAATGGAGATTGTATAATTGTTTTTTATGTCCTTGGGGTTTTTTGGGAATGTTGTATTGTTGTAAACTTACAAAGAGAATATATCCCTGGAATAGCTATCAGAGCCAGTGTGTTTTTAAATTGCAATGTATTCTTTAATAACCATTCTGTACAATAAAACATATGAGTAAAAAAGGTTTTTATGAATATATGTGTGATGGTATGTCAGCTGCATTCAAGTCTGAAAGTTATTTCTGTTTGCATTTATGTTGGGACGTGCAGCTAGATACTCAATCTCTCTTTTTGTTATGTACAAACTGTAAATTCACTTCACTGTGTTTTTCTCTACTAACCAATATGACTTCCACCTTGCAGGGAGGATTCATGGCATGTAGCCAAGCTAGTGAAATCTTACTTGCAACAGCACAATATTCCACAGCGGGAGGTGGTAGACACCACAGGACTCAACCAGTCTCATCTCTCCCAGCACCTCAACAAGGGGACTCCCATGAAAACGCAGAAAAGGGCAGCACTGTACACGTGGTATGTGGCAAAACAGCGAGAGATAGCAAGGCGTGAGTATACCTTTATCCATGTTTCTGAGACACTGGTACACATGATACAATGTAAAAGTAGTCATGTGGAGTTAGTATGATGACATTCAAGGTCTCACATCCGTTTTTTTTTTAGAGTTCACACATGCAGGGCAATCTTTGATGACCGATGACATTTCCTGTGATGAAGTGCCAAATAAAAAAATGAGAAGGAACCGCTTCAAGTGGGGGCCAGCTTCACAGCACATCCTTTTTCAGGCATATGAAAGACAGAAAAATCCCAGCAAGGAGGAGCGTGAAGCACTTGTAGAGGAATGTAATAGGTAAAAGTATGAATTAAAAAAAAAACCCACAAAAAACACATATATATTCCTAGTTGAAGCAGCCTTCCCCCCACAAAGTTAGTAAACTATATCAAAATTTCCATAGCAGACACCTTAAAGTGCCTAATCGTTTTTACTTTACAGTCATCCGTTTTTTAAATCAATGCTGGAGCTTCTAAAAGATCCTTTGTTTGTAGTGACTTTCATCAAGTTGGTATTTGCAAAGGTCTAGGCACATTCCTCTGTTATTGCTTAGGCCTATATATCCAAAATGAAGGGAGTACCCAATGTAAAAAATTATAAATATAATTTCATAAATTTAATATATTTATTTAAACTGAAAAGAGTGCTCCTGAAAGTTTAGGAAATGTCCACTTAATACATAGCTCTTCCCCATCCAAAAGGAAAAAGTGCAAATCCCCATCCACATGCCATTACCTGTTGGAATACTTCTCACCCTGTTCTTTTGACTTTTAAAGACAGGAAGGTTAAATGCATTTGAATATGTGTACATCACTATCCTGGGAGTTCGATGTATATTATTGTGACGAACACAGCGCCCGACCCCTGGCCTTCACACCAACTCATGACAAAGGACCAGCCAGTCTCATACAACAACCAGCCAGTCTCATACAACGACCAGCCAGTCTCACACAATGCCACTTTCAGCTGCACCTGGCACAAAGATGTTCCAGCTCAGGGGGTCACAATCTAGGTGCCATCAGCCTGAGAGTGATTGTCACTGGGTTGAGTTAAACAAGTAACTCTTTAAGCTTTTCACTGAGTAGGTGGAAACTCCTAATCTTAACATTAACAACTATGATTTTAGAATAAAGGTCTGCGACATGCACTGTCACCACAGACAGGTATTTTCAGAGATTTGTAATACAATAGCACTCTTCAAGAGACAGGGATTCTTTTAGTTTACATTAAAAGCCTTAGGGACAGTTTAAGACTTTTCAAAATAAGGTTTAATAATGAAAAGGTCAAAATGATACAAATAAAATATTTACAGAAAAAAGGTGTTATAAAGAAATAAAGAAACCATAAAGCAACAGAGCATTAAAAGTAGTTGAAAATAAAGAATCCTGGAAAAATGCTGCTTTTAGCAAAGTTCAGTCAAAAAGCAAGGTGTTGTCGACTGTCATAACTTGACAGATGTTCCTTCATTGATGGTAAAACAAGAGCTGTCAGAGGATCCTTACATTTCCTTTTTCTGTCGTATCAAAGGAGTGTTGACAGAGACCATCTGACCAATTACCCAGATTAGGGGGTGGTGGTTGAGAGGTCACCACATTGTATGACTATCGTAGCCCTCCCTTACACACAGTTTTGTACTAATATTAATATCTTCCACTACATACAGGTTACATTCTGGAAACTGGTAGATTATTGTTCAGTATTATATTTCATGTCCAGGGATACCAAACACAGAGTATTGTGGAAGGGTCTGTCACCCAGGAGGCAGAAAACTGCTTTCTCCCCTTTTGGATGTGCTAACTTAGTCATGTATGACCTTGATTTGTTCAGTAAGATATTCCCCATTCAAATATATACTTAATAATAATGTGTCTTGGTCCTGCTGGATTTTTTGAATTGTGTGTGGATTTTGTTACGTTATGAATTGGGCAGAGGTCTCAGAAAGGTCGCCCACACCGGGCTGCTTTCTGTGTAGACTTTTAGTGGCACACTACATTTTCCTAGTGCTTTAATTGCCCTACACATCATATGTGACAGAATGGATGGATTTTGTCATTGTTTTACGATAGGTCAGAGGGAAGTGTTAATCTGTAGAGTGTTTTATGGTCTGTATAAACAGGAATCCTGCCAGAACTCAATGAGCTGTTTACAGCTTTGACAAAGGCCTGTGTGCTGGTGTCTGCTGTCTCTAGGTTGAGATAACAAGCTCTTATGAAGGGAGCTAAAGGTTAAGGCTCCATTAAGAATTCCATATAATGCAGAAGGAGGGGGGGGATAAGATCACTGTGGTCATGAAAAAGAAATGGCTGAGACCTGACAAGATGGCTGTCGCCTACAGCTTTCATGTGTTTAATACACACAACCATTACAATTATGATGTAATTTCTCACTTCGTAAATCAGTGGTATGCTCCAAATGAGATAAAAATGTTTTCAATAGTGAAAATACCATTAAACTTTTTTAGACAGGATAAACCTCATATATTCATGGCACCACAAAGCCATATCTAACAGCAACCAATATAATGCCTGTCAGTGCCAGGCTCATAAGGCACAATCTCCTCTCCTCATCCCAGCAAACAAATGACAGGCAGTTTGACACATTTCAAATTTAACTTCATCAGGGGCTTATGGGTAGTATACAGCATAAAGTGATTCTAAAGATAAAACTTCCTTTTGTACCTTAATGCTTTCCCTGTATTAAGGTAAAAAATATTTGCCACTTCCTCCCTCCAAGTACTTACCTGAGTCATGTAGCAATCCAGTGCGTTGCCCATCTGCCAGTCTTCCCTCTTCTCTCCCCACTCTCACAAGCTTGGCTGAGAGCAGTGGGAGCCATTGGCTCCTGTTGCTGTCAGACAAATCCTGTGAGCAGAGAGTGGGGGTGGGGGGTGGGGAGAATCTCCGCTGTGTGTGTCAAGGACGCACACAGCCTTACTCAGGATCAAGTCTGCACCTCTGCCCCCCTAGCAGGTGCTTGCTATTGGGGCAGGCCCAGATGGATAAGCCAAGTTTGCCAGCGGAAGACCTCAGAAGAGGATGTTTTGGGCAACTCTGTGCAGTACTATTGCACAGAGCAGTTGAGTATAACAAGCTTATTATTTTAATAAAAAAATTGCCTTTAAAAAGGCTTTAATCTTTTAAAAGCTTTTAGAGGAAATCTGTCAAGAAAAATATTATGATTGCTGCCATTGCTGAAATGTAGGTTGCTTGTCTGTCATGCTGACCCTATTACTATGAGTCAAGTATGCAGATGAAAAAACCTATGATTTTAAAACCTATGATTTTACCAATGGCATATTTCTGAGTCAATGACTTAAAACGTATTGGAGCCAGGGGTTCAGCATAATAACAATGCAACTAGAAATTGCAAGTCAGCAATGCCACGCCACATGTTTTTCTCAATTGCCCGATTCTCATATCTGGGTATTTTATGAAATGTGCCTATGGGCCATTAAATCTATAGGAACATATGGGGAGTAGCACATATAGTAACGGATGTTACATGATTTGATTCTCACTGATGTTGCCAATATACAGCCAATGGGTCAACATAAAGATTGAATTGCTGATCAATTAAGAACCACTGAGTTAAAGTATAACTTGAGCTTTCACCCTCTTAAATGGCAGATTCCACACTGTAAGGTAGGGCAGTGAGATAATAAATGTCTTCAAGAGAATCTGTCATAAAATAAATTGCATGGGTAATTAGGTTTTTCTAGAGCAGCCTTTCTTTATATCATGCTGCATACCAGTTCAGCAGCACTGAAGCTAAACCTGTTCACCAAGTCTCTGACCTGAAACTGACTGCTTCTACCAAAGCATAATAATGAATGTACTTCTCTTTGCGTAAATAATATATCTTACATATAAATTCTCTCTATTCTAGGGCAGAATGCATACAAAGAGGAGTATCACCATCACAAGCACAAGGACTGGGCTCTAACTTAGTGACAGAAGTGAGAGTTTATAATTGGTTTGCTAACAGACGCAAGGAAGAGGCATTCCGGCACAAGTTAGCAATGGACACATACAATGGTCAGCAGAGCTCCACACCTACCCTAACGGCACATGATTTGCCTCCAGCCAAGGCAACAGGTAATTGCAGCCTTTGCTTATCTACAGTATATGTTTGAGGTTTTCCTCTTGTTGTTCAGCTGTAATGTATCTTGGCTGGTTTCAGTAAAAGTAGCTAAAAAACAGCAGCCATGTGTCCAAACTGAGTTTAATAGAAATCTGTAGCTACAGAATTTGTTCGCTCTTTTCTTAATGTCTTTTTTGGGACTGCAACACTTTTGCTGTAGTAGGTAGCTGCACCTGCCTATCAGGTATGTTTTACAATGCCTTGCTTCTCTATGGAAACCTGTACTGTGAGAAATACACCAATCAGCCATAACTTTATGACCATCCACCTTTTACTGCCAAAACAGCCCTGACTCATCGAGGCATGGACTTCATTAGACCTCTGAATGTATGCTGTGGAACCAGGCACCAAGTCATTGCGAGGTGGGGCCTCCATGAATCAAACTTGTTTTTCCAACACATTCACAGATGCTCAGTTGGAGATCCAGACACTTTGGAGGCCAAGTCAACACTAGACATGTGCAGAACGAAAAAAAAAAAAAATTTATTCTTGATTCATTATTTAAATAATTTCATTTAAATTCGTTTAATTCATTTTCAGAATTCATTTCAATTATTCAAATTTACCAAGTTTGATCAAATTGACTTAAATTCAACCAAATTTAGAAAATCCAAATCAGCATTCAAATTTATTGTATTTGAAATTCGAAATTCGGAAGATAGTTATATTCTATTTTTTTTGCTATTCTATTCTTTTCTAGTCTGTTCTTTTCTATTCTATTCGTATTTGAATTTATTCTATTCAGAATTTGAATTTCAGAAAACTTTCTTTTTCTATTTTATTCTATTCTAGTCTACTGTTTTTTTCTATTCTATTTTTTTTTATTCTATTCAAAATTAAAATTTTGGAGGACAGTTATATTTTATTCTATTCTTTTCTATTCTAACCTGTTTGAATTTGTTACTAAGCTCTAATGAGCAGGGTCCTCTGATCACTCGTATTCATTTGTACTGTAATTGTACTGTCTGCCCTTATGTTGTAACATGCTGCGTAAACTGTTGGTACTATATAAATCCTGTATAAAAATAATAATTTTTTCGAATTTATTCTATTCGAAATTTGAATTTCGGAAGATGGTTATATTCTATTGTTTTTGCTATTCTATGCTTTTATTTTCTATTCTACTGTTTTATTTTCTATTCTACTTTTCTATTCTATTGCTTTATTTTCTATTCTGTTTTATTATATTCTTGTATTTGAATTTGATTTTGTTTTCGAATTCGATTTGAATTTCAGAAGTGATTTTGTTTAGTTATTTTGGATTTGTTTTATTTGTTACTATTGTAATTCGGATACATCTGAATCTCCGAATAACAAAAAATTCATCCGAATTTTGATTCCAAATTAAACAAATCACACATGTCTAGTGAACACCTCAAACTCGATTTTGTGTTCCTCAAACCATTCTTGAACTATTTTTGGGAAAAATGGCATACATAGCAGTAGTGCATCTTTTTTGTATTTATGGTAACACATTGTCTTACAATAGGCATTCGGTACAACCAAGACTCCTCCAGTGAGCGAGGGATTTCCATGGTGAACAACCAAAATGGTCTGTCTCCATCCAACTTGGACCACAGCCACAGTCTTATGAGCAGCGAAAGCAAATTAATTCCAGTAGTAGGGGGCTCCCTTCCACCCGTCAGCACGCTTACTGCTCTGCACAGCCTGGACCATGGACAGCATACAATTGGACAGACACAGAATCTCATCATGGCTTCACTTCCCAGTGTCATGACAATTGGCACTGATGCAGCACTTGGACCAGCATTCAGCAATTCTGGACCATCAACATTAGTGATAGGTAAAAATATAGTCAATGCCTCTTTATGACCCAGCATGAACAATAAAGGGCACAGCTCTTTTGTGCACGAATTAAAAGAAAAAATGTGAGGAGAGAAAAGAAGGTTACAAAAGTATATAATATATAGAAAGGTGCAGCGCTACAAGTGACAATAACAAGGAATCAATAAAATGAATACATGATAATATGATATAAATAGTTCCAATAAAATTAGGATAAGAGAAGTTAAAATAAGTAAAGGTGACTCTTGTGCTCTGACAACTCTGGATCCGGTATAGGTGCAATAATGGTGATAGTAATGCGCACTCACCGGACGTGCATATTAAATGCGCCTTATATAATTATTCCAGATGTCATCAGCATGGAGAGTGGTCAGGAACTTATGAGTTATTCCCTCTAGAGGGTAGTAGGTCATCAGACAGGATCCTTTTAAGGAATTACAGGTGATCCTCGTCCTTCAGGATTCCCCTTTCAGGTGCCTGGTAATGCTCCCTGGATATGTAGGTATCCACTGCAGATATAAAGATTTCTCCTGTAGTAGTGTATCTAAAAATTCAGAGAGCTCCCCCAGAGGGTAAGAACAAGGACACTCCCGTAGTGTAGTAAGTGTGAACAAAATTTATTTGAAGTTAAAAAGAATCAATGCATCAATGTAAAAGGAGGAGTCACATCACGCAGTGACGTCACGCCAGAGCAACGTGAAGCTCCAGTGGCCATCTTTAATACTGGTTGGTCAGTACTTGCTGTCTGACACACTGTTTTTTACATTGATGTCTGATGACCTACTACCCTCTAGAGCAGGCATGTCCAAAGTCCGGCCCACGGGCCATTTACGGCCCGGGGGTCGGTTTAATACGGCCCTCCAACAGCCCTCCCTGCTCTGTGTAATGTGGCCCTCCCACGACCCTCCCTTCTATGGCAGACAGTCTTCTGACAGTCTTCTGCTTGAGAGCAGAGGGCAGTGCGCATGCCTGACTGCGGCGCGTTCTCCCTGGTCTGTGTAAATGCGGCTGTTGCACGGCCCTCCCTTCTGTGGCAGACAGTCTTCTGTTTGAGAGCAGTGCACATGCGTGACTGCGCCGCGCTGGGAGTGACAGAGGGCGGTGACGTCAGGGCCGGGCTTCCAGCGTGAAGTGTGTTTCTCTTCCCCTCCCGGCTGCCGAGCAGAGACTTCAGCTCCAGCTACCTTTTTCACCCTTCACATTAGTGCAGGTAAGTTTTTTTTAAATTTATTTTCAATACATTGTGAAAACTCAGCTGTCAGTTGATCTTAATGTTATGAAATGAAAAGTATGTCGTTTGCAATTAACTTGGCATAAAATAATTTATTTGCATTTAATTGTAATGGTTCAAAGAATGTTCGGAAAAATGTTCGGCCCTCCACCATGTTCACTTCATCCAATCTGGCCCTCTTTAAAAAAAAGTTTGGACACCCCTGCTCTAGAGGGAAGACCTCATAAGTTCCTGACCACTCTCCGTGCTGATGACATCTGGAATAATTATATAAGGGAGAAAGGGGAAACAAACTCTCCTGCGCTCTGAGACTCAGGTGGGTGGTGAATAGATGGAACGAGAACTGGAAGATACGACCACCAGTGCATATAGGGTTGTACAGCTCCAAACAAGGCTGGGGAAGACCGACCAGTACTCCAAAGCGAAACAAAAACGAGAAGCGCACCAACCTTGCACATTACCTCAGTAACCAAATTTTATTAAATACAAAATGATACTCACAAATAGCGAAGTAATTCAAGCATGTAAATCCTCAAAGGAACTTGAAAGTTAGGAAGCCTGCGTGAGTCCCATCATAAGGGTAGTCACTTAAAGTACAGCTGACGCATTTCGAAGAGCATATGATGGAGGGATGCCCTTCGAAACGCGTCAGATGTACTCTGAGTGTCTACCCCTATGATGGGACTCGCGCAGGCTTCCTAACTTTCAAGTTCCTTTGAGGACTTACATGCTTGAATTACTTCGTCGTTTGTATCATTTTGTATTTAATAAAATTTGGTTACTGAGGTAATGTGCAAGGTTGGTGCGCTTCTCGTTTTTGTTTCGCTTTGCACAATTATATAAGGCGCATTTAGTATGCGCGTCCGGTGAGTGCGCATTACTATCACCATTATTGCACCTATACCGGATCCAGAGTTACCAGAGCACAAGAGTCACCTTTACTTATTTTAACTTATATTATCCTATTTTTATTGGAACTATTTATATCATCATTATATTATCATATATTCATTTTATTGATTCCTTGTTATTGTCACTTGTAGCGCTGCACCTTTCTATATATTTATGATTCTAGGTGATATTGGTTACCGGTTTTCTGCATACCAGTTTTTTTATATACATTTATTTCTAATTCTAAGGCGCTTGCATTTTTTGTTTATATAAGGTTACAAAAGTACCTGTATTGCTGACTTTATTGGATGTCATAGTGACTTTTGCAGATTTTAATTTTCAGCACATTTATGCATTGCATTAACAGGTGAAAAATGCATGTTTGACTTTGTGCTGCTGTAATGCATGGTACAGGGTGGGACATAGTTTTTCCTTTTGTTTAGAATGGCACTGTCACTTTCCAGCAGTGTAGCAGATAACATAACAGATGGAGATATAGGATGACAATGCTATCTATCCCATGTGGATATTTATAAAGGTGATCTGTTGGTGGGAAACCGTTTCCTCCTAACTGTGGGAGTGAGTTCACCGATGTGGAAAACCTGGTCTAGTGAAATCTTTTGGCTAAAGTGCTAGGACACTTAGAAACAATGGCAGGCTGGCGTCTCTCCATTTTAATTAAAACCTAAAAATTGGCAACTTATTTTATAACTGTTCCTCTTTCCGGAGCACAGGTATATTATAGTGAATATCAGATGGCAGAATCGTTTGTGGCAGAGTCACCTGTCTACCATCAGCCTATGGCATATTCAAGAATATCATTAATGAATCATGTTTAATGTAGTCTAACGTCACTTCCACTTTGTGTTCCAGGTCTTACATCCCAGTCTCAAAGTGTTCCTGTGATCAACAGTGTAGGCAGCAGTCTGACGACGTTACAGCCTGTCCAGTTTCTCTCAGCAAATCCATGCTTCACACCAGCAGCCAATAGTACAACAGGTCCAGGGTCACATGACACAAAACCCCTTCATGGCCACAATGGCTCAGCTCCAGTCTCCACATGGTAAGAGTCTAACCCTGCAAAAATATGAATGTTAGCCTAAATCAGACATGTCTAAACTGTTTATCATTTCTCTGCAGCTCTGTACAGCCACAAATCAGATATTGCCCAGTATGCATCTGCTAGCTTCTTCCCACAGACCATGGTCATCACAGACACATCAAACTTGGGAACACTCACTAGTCTAACACCCACCAAACAGGTAATTCCATGTCAGTCGCATGCAGTGCTAATATTTACATTTGGAAGAATGTATGAATGTGAATGATATATATAGGCACACTTGGAATAAGGTAGGGTGAGAATCTCATGTCAGGTAGAGCCCCCTCGGTGACCTAGGAAATGGCAATCTTTAACTTTCTCACCTGTCTCAGATGCTTCAGCACTGTCCCAGGACATATTTTATGAATCCTGGCCAGTTTCCAACACCACATATAAGGTGCACGGTCAGGTGGAGTGATCTTCTGTCCCACAGTTTATTTTGTGCAGCAGGAAAAGGCAAAGTGATTCAGCAGCTGGAGAAACAGATTCTTACAGTGGCTTAATGGTTAGCCCTGGGGTTCTTGATTCAAATCCTTTCCAGGACTTTATCTGCATGGAATTTGCATATTCTCCTTGTGCTTATGTGGGTTAATGCCAAGTACTACAGGTTCCTCCAATACTCCAAAGACGTGCGCTTTACGTACTATAAATTCACATTAGTCCTTGCTCTCAAGGTGCTTACTATCTTAAGGTCCCATTATCACATGCATACATCCAAAAAAAACAAACACATACTAACCTACTAGCATGTCTTTGGAGTGTGTGAGAAATACAAGAGTACCAAAATAACGCTCTGCAAAATCCATGTAGTTTCCTAGCTGGGATTCAAATTGAGGACCCCAGTGCTGCAAGGAAGAAGTCACACTGTGCTACCCTCTCTTTCTATGCCATGAAGTGTAGGGCACATGGCAGTGAAGAATTTAAGCCACACTCAGTATTCAGCACAGCGTAACATAGCCTACTTTTACCTAACATTAAAGTGTCCCTCTTTCTCAGCTTCAAATGTTAGGAGGTATACAGAGGTGGAGAAGGGGTTTAGGGTGGGTGTTTGTGTGTGCTTTAGTTCTAATGCTGCACACTCATATACTTACCATCTCTACACTTCACAATTCTCTCATTATGCTGCTATTGTGGTACATTAAGTTCCTACAAGTTTATTTTATGTGTTTGTGGGGGTTGCCATTTTGGTGTTCACCCCAGGCAGTAGAAGAGCTAGATTCACTGCTGGTAAAATACACAGTCTATATGAATAAAGATTCAGGAACCATGTGTAGTAAAAAGCTTGTTCTGTCATTGTAAGAACAAATATTGAGAAAAATAGCATTAGGTTATGCCATGTGTTGGGAGAGGAAACCGTGCCTACATTGTTGAATGTATTCTGTCATCAGGTCCACTCCTTGCACAGTAGTGTACAGGAAGACACTCAGGGCTCCCAGCTCCAGAGCCAAGACTCCAACATCCTGCACCTCTCTTCAAGCCACCGCCTCTCCCCCAGTCCAACAGGTAAGAATCATGTTGCAGTTAGAATCTACATTAAATTGCTCCTACCATAATCAATCATATCTATAAAACAAACATATACAGTATGTGACATCATGAAAGATATTTTGTTTACTCATACAGTGCCAACACAAACCAATTATTTACAAAAACAAAGAGCAATTTCTATTAGTTCCAAAGTACAATATAATATCAATAGGACATGTTCTAGGACCAATTGAACTGGAAACTGATTCGCTTCGTAAAGCACAACACAGAGTGCACTCATTTATGCCAACAAGGGAGAAAAATACACTCCATTCAGATAAAGCTCTGAGGAGAATCAATCCCAAGATTTAAGACTTAAGGCAACAAACAAATGTTTCATTAGGGAAGCTAGCACTTCAGCTATTTGGATAGAATGGAATTGGGATGGTAAAGTAGCCTAGGGCTACAAAGGCATTTACATCTTTTACCAATAACAAATGTAACTACTTGTTGATGATTTTCTAGAGGAACATAGATTATAGTGTGCAGGCAATGAGAGGCTACTAAAAAAAGTTCAAAGCAGAACTTCGACCTCCAATTGAAGCTGAACTCCAGGTTTACAATAACTTTAAATAGCTTGTTTAGCACAAGTGAACCATTTCCTTTACTAATTTATGCAGCTGCTGTCAGCGCTGTATAAATTGTATATATCAGCCACATATTGTATACAGCGCTGTTTTCCAATAGCAGTACAGTGACTTCCTGTCTACTACCAGAATAAAATCGAGTTGGGATGAGTGCTTCTCAGCCATTCACAGCCTTGTATTTTTATTCATGAATACAAGATTTCCTCTGACTGGCCAAAGTGGAAAGGAGGATGGATGATGTCCCAGTCTCCACCTCTACAAATCAGAGGAAGTCTTGTACTTAATTGATAAAAAAACAAGACTACCTGTGAATGGCTTACATGCATTCATGCCGCCAAAATTCTGTTCTGGCAGCAGACAGGAAATCCCTGTAATGCTGTCACAACATAGCGGCCACATCAATTAATAAAGGAAATAGTTAGTTTGGGGCATCTTGGCCCAAATTAACTATTTAAAGTGAAAGTAACCCTGGAATTCAGCTTTAAGAAAAAACAATATAGTTGCTGCACTTAATTATAAGTGTATCTGCACTTACAGTGTTCTCATAGAACCCCTTCAAACTCCCAGAAATACTGTTAATCCTGCTAATGAAGTCCACCAAATGCAACTGTGATGGCATGTAAATGAGCTCCAAAAAAAAAAAAAAAAAGTATGTACAGACAGTTTCTGCTGTCCACTGCAAATTAAAGTTTATATTCCATGAGATGCCCACAGGTTTGCGTTAAAGGCTAAATCCATCTTTCTTAAAAAAATAATAAATGCACATTTTTTTTGCAGGTGAAAAATGTGCCTTTTTTTTTTCTCAAACATGCAGATGGTCAATGTAGATGTTTGATCGTACCTCGTACAGGTAGGCAGTTACTGGGTGACAGAAAGACTCAAACTACTATAGCACTCACTAGCACCCTAGTAGTTAATTGAGAACTATAAGCAGTCTGCCACAAAAGGTACTTGTATTTCATTCATTCATTCACAGATGTCTGTGAATGAATGACAGCTTTGTCAGCGGAGCCCCACGTAGCCACATTCTTTTCAAATTTTCACAGCGGGTGCGGGGAGAAGATCCCTGGCCTGCTGTCACAATGATTAGGGGGATTGGGGAGAGGCTCCTGGTACCAGGAACGGGACCATGTTACATGTTCCACCCTAAAAATGGGTGTAACATGTTCCCAAAGGTGAACTTAGCCTTTAAGACCAAGGTTGAGTGGCACAATAAAATGTAGAGCTTGGCTATCTAATGTACCCAATTTAACGTATTTATGACTGTTGAAATGAAAGAAGACCAACATGTTGATCTTGTGACCTTCTCTCCTGCACAGCAGCATCAGCCGGTTTGGTACACTACCAGAATTCCAGTACCCCCGACAGCCATAACCACCTCCTGTCCCCATCACACAGCACCATAGACAATTACATGTCCACGCAGATGGCATCTTCCTCACAATGAAAAGACTTCAGCTCTGGAACAGATTCACACCTGCAAACAGCATTCCTGGACTCCCTCTGATGTGGTCAGAGCTGAACAGCTTTATTCAAAGACAGAGTGGACATTACGAAGATTATCACTCTCAGATGAATAGCCTTGCACCAGTCAAGTCTGCAATGAACCATGATTTGTGAAATGAGCACATAAACTGAAAGTACACAATGGCAAAGTGTTCATAAACACTTTTTTTGTATGCGTCTGTCAAGGGAGAAGATACTGAACTACCTGTCAAGGAGACCTCAGTTCTGTTCTGATATGCCAGTTCATCAAAATTATCAAGTTATATTTTTCTTGGTATAACCACTGGGTTCATATTGTTGACCTGTGTCTTTCTTGTCTGATTCTAACTCCTTACCCAGCTGTTTATCCTTTTAGAAACTGCTTTATTCGTATTCCTGTCTTAAGTCCTAATGGTCTGAGTTAGTCTCATTTACAAACTGTTTATTCTTCCTTTTCTTCTTTTTCTTCATTTTAAAGCCATTGGTTTCATGCTCCTGCCTTAAATCCTTTGGGTTTGATTGACTTTCATTGACCAGCTTGCTGTCTTTTCTCGATTCATGTTCTTGCCTTGAACCTCGATGGTCATTATCAGTCCCTTTGTTCATCCCCTTGTCCTTTTTCTTCTTCTTTTTGTTTTTCTTTGTAAGTTGATCATTACTGGGTGTGTCTGAACTCTGCACTGCAACTGGACATAGAGCACTGTGTTTTAGAATGTCTAACCCTGACACAGCTGCTTCACGGCATCGACGCTCATTTTCCTCTTCGCTGTCCTCACTGCCAAACACAGAATGAGAAATACTGTGAAGTCCTTCAAAGTTATAAAAATTCAGGTGATGAAAAATGTGTAGAAAACATCATGCTTATAAGTATTCATTGTGAGTGTTTAAAGCAGATTGAAAGCTCATTACTCCATCTTCAGTTAACAGTGGTCTGTTTAGTAAATTTACAGTCACAAGGAAGATACTATTACACAAAAATGCATATGACCAATTAAAACTAACCTGGAAAATCAAACTCTCTGAATTATAGAGAGCGTGTTGTGTTTAAGTACAGTGGATATAAAAAGTCTACACACCCCTGTTAAAATGTCAGGTTTCTGTGATGTAAACAAATGAGACAAAGCTAAATCATTTCAGAACTTTTTCACACTTTTGTGATGTGATCTATAAACTGTACAACTCAATTGAAAAACAAACTGAAATATTTTAGGATGGGAAGTAAACAAACAACTAAAATAATGTGGCTGCATAAGTGTGCACACCCCCTTATAACTGGGATGTAGCCATGTTCAGAATTAAGCAATGACATAAAAAAAAAAATCGACTTAAATAGGAGTCAGTACACACCTGCCATCATTTAAAGTGTGTCTGATTAACTCCAGATAAAGTTCACCTGTTCTGTTTTTCTTAGTCACATCCTACAGCAAAAGCCATGGACCGCAGAGAGCTTCCAAAGCATCAGAGGGATCTCATTGTTAAAAGGCATCATTTAGAAGGGTACAAAATAATTTCTAAGGCTTTAGATATACCATGGAACACAGTGAAGACAGTCATCAAGTGGAGAAAATATGGTGCAGCAGTGACATTATCAAGAACTGGACGTCCCTCCAAAATTGATGAAAAGACCAGAAGAAAACTGGTCTGGGATACTGCCAAGAGGCCTACAGCAACATTAAAGGAGCTGAAGGAATATCTGGCAAGTACTGGCTGTGTGGTACATGTGACAACAATCTCCCGTATTCTTCATATGTCTGGGCTATGGGGTAGAGTGGCAAGACATAAGCCTTTTCTTAAAAAAAAACCCAAAACATCCAAACCAGGCTAAATTCTGCAAAAACACATCTGAAGTCTCCCAGAAGCATGTGGGAAAATGTGTTATGGTCTGATGAAACCAAGGTTGAACTTTTTGGCTATAATGCCAAAAGATATGTTTGGTGCAAAAACAACACTGCACACCACCAAAAGAACACCATACCCACAGTGAAGCATGGTGGTGGCAGCATCATGCTTTGGGGCTGTTTTTCTTCAGCTGGAACTGGGGCCTTAGTCAAGGTAGAAGGAATTATGAACAGTTCCAAATACCAGTGAATATTGCCACAAAATTTTCAGGCTTCTGCTAGAATGCTGAACATGAAGAGGAACGCCATCTTTCAGCATGACAATGACCCAAAGCATACATCCAAATCAACAAAGGAATGGCTTCACCAGAAGAAGGTTAACCATTTATCCTCCTGAGGATTTACCCCACTTCCTGACCAGGCCATTTTTTGTGTTACAGCGCTGTGTTACTTTAACAGTTGTGCGGTCATGCAATGCTGCGCCCAAATGAAATTTACGTCCTTTTTTTCCCCCACAAATTTTGCTTTCTTTTGGTTTTTATTTTTTGCGTTATAAAAAAAAGACCGACAATTTTGAGAAAAAAAAATATTTTTTACTTTTTGCTATTAAACATGTCCAGTAAAATGTTTTTTTTAAAAAAATCACATTTCGGCATAAACTTAGGCCAAAGTGTATTCTGCTACATGTCTTTGCTACAAAAAAATCCCAATACTTGTAAATGAATAGGTTTATGTGAAAGTTAAAGCGTCTATAAATAGCGGCATATATACTGGGATTTTTTTTTTCATTTTTACTAGTAAAGGTGGTGATCAGCGATTTATAGCAGAACTGCGGCGAGCATTCTGACACGGGGGGGACTGACTTGGTGTTACGGACATCCCCAGTGACACCAATACAGTGATCAGTGCTAATAAAAAGCACTGACACTGTACTAATGGCACTGGGCAGGAAGGGGTTAACATCGGGTGATCAAAGTGTTAACTGTGTGCTGTTTTACTAGAGGCTGTGTGTTAGTGCTTTACTGTAAGCACACTGCTTTGTATGACTGTGCTGTGCACAGCCATGCAAAGCAGTGTGCACAAGCTGACAGGGAGAACTGTTTTGTTTACTAACAGTTCTCCCCCGTCAGAGAAGCTCGGCAATCACCGGCTGGGACCCGGTGATCAACAGCCGCGGGAGCACCCCTTACCCAGAAATGCAAAATCACATGTATATATACATGCGTTTATGCGCACCCATGCCGCCCTGTAGCAGTATATCTGCCATAGGGTGGGTGGGAAGCAGTTAAAGTTTTGGAATGGCCCAACCAGAGCCCAGACCTGAATCCAATCAAAAATCTGTGGGGTGATCTGAAGAGGGCTGTGCACAAGAGATGCCCTCACAATATGACAGATTTGGATTGTTTTTGCAAAGAAGAGTGGGCAAATATTGCCAAGTCAAGATGTGCCATGCTGATAGACTCATACCCAAAAAGACGGAGTGGTGGAATCAAATCAAAAGGTGCTTCAACAAAGTATTACTTTAAGGGCTTGCACACTTATGCAACCATATTATTTTAGTTTTTTTACTTTTACTTCCCTCCACCTAAAAGTTTTCAGTTTGTTGTTCAACTGAATTGTACAGTTTATAGGTTAAATTAAAAAGGTGGAAAAAGTTTAGAAATTATTTGTCTTATTTGTTTACATTACAGAAATCTGACATTTTAACAGGGGTGTGTAGACTTTTTATATCAACTGTATATATACTACTGCCAGTTAAAGTGATTGCAGACACCTTGAAAAGAAACTATTCTGTTTAAAATAGAAATGAAAGACAAAACATGTGTATAAATATAAAAAAAACACTATACGGTGCATTCATAAAGTATTCAGAACCCCTTCTCTTTTTTCAATGTTGTTATGTTGCAGTCTGATACTACAGCTGTTTATATTCAATTTTTTCTCAATCTACACTCAGTACCCCATAATGACAAAGTCAAAATGGAATTTTAGAAATGTTCGCAAATGTATCAAAAAGGAAAAACTGAAATATCACATTGGCATAAGTGTTCAGACCCGTTGGCTGCATTCACACTTGAGTGTCTTGTAGCTTGAAGCTCCAAAAAAGCTCAAACTTAAAAAATCAATTGTTCTCTATGATGCCTATTCACACTTGAATAGGCATCTTGGTGCGAACAGGCACCATAGAAAGCAATTGAGTTTTTAAGTTTGAGCGTTTTGGAATTTTGAGCTTCAAGCTACAAAACACTCAAGTGTGAACGCAGCCTTAGCAACTACACTTGAAATTTAGCTGAGGTGCCTCCTATTTCTCTTCAATTTTGCTGAGATGTTTCTACACCTTGATTGGAATCCACCTATGGTACATTAAATTGATTGGACACTTTACAACATGACCATGATCCTAGGCACATTCACAACTCTGTGAATGTCCTAGAGTGCCCAGCCGGAGCCCTGACTTGAACATTTCTGGAGAGACCTGAAAAAAAGCTATCCGCCATCAGTCCCCTTCCAACCTGACTGCGCTTGAGAGTATTTGAAAAGAAAAATGGAAGGAAATCCCCCAATCCAGGTGTTATAAGGCTTGTCCTATCATACCCAAAAAGACTTAAGACTGCGATTGCTGCCAAAGGTGCTTCAACAAAGTGCTGAGTAAAAGGTCTGAATAATTACCCACTTCCTGTTCGGACACTTTTACCCCCTTCCTGTCCAGGGCAATTTTCAGCTTTCAGCGCTATCACACTTTGAATGAAAATTGCGCGGTCATGCAACACTGTACCCATATGAATTTTTTACCATTTTTTGAGTCAGATAAAGCTTTATTTTGGTGGTATTTATTCACCGCTTCGATTTTTATTTTTTTGCTATGTAAATGAAAAAGTCCAAATATTTTGAAAAAAAGTGTTTTTCCTACAAAATTTTGCAAATAAGTAATATTTCATCATAAATCTTGGCCAAAATTTAATCAGTTATCTTTTTAGTAAAAAAAAAAAAAAAAAGCCAAATTAGTTTTATAACCGAAAATTATAATTTTTAAACATTTTTTATTTTATTTCTTTATATTATTATTTATGGTTTTTTTTTTAACATACTGTCACCCTAGCAGTACAGTGTCACCATGGTGACACTGTACTACTTGTGGGGGGTGATGTTTTTTTTTTTTTTTTACACTGATTGCTTTTACACCCATATAGGATGTAAAAGCAATCATTTCTCCTTAACTCTGTCTGTTTTTTGCAGCCATTGAGAACTACTGAGTGAGCTGTGATTGGTCACAGCTTGTCACATGGTACAAGGCTGTTGTGAATAGCCTTGTACCATGTGACCTCTGTGATCATTCACAGATTTCACACGTAGTAAGCAATGATGTCACAAGTGACATCTTGCTTACTACTTTGCATGCGATCACTGATTGGCCAATCAGTGATCACATGATCGGGACCTCGTACAGAGGTCCCGTCTGACGATCGGTGTTTCACTGTGTCCGGAGCTCCCAGGAAGCGCGCACAAGCAGGGTGCGGGGAGGCCGTTTATAAACGGCCACCCGACCCTGCAGTGCCACCATCCGGCCGCTTATATACAACGGCCGGACGGGAGGTGGTCAAGCACATGTGATATTTCAGTAGTGGTGCACCGAAATCGAAAATTCAGGATGCACTTGGTTTAAAATCGAAACCGAAATGAACAGTTTTTTTTAAGAAATATATTTATTTATATTTAAAATTGTATTCAACTTTTTAAATAACACTATGAATGTAAATGAATAGGAGTTTAAAAAACAATCCAATCATGTAAAATAACTTTTATTGAAAATAACACAAAAATTGGACAGAAAATAAAATTAAATATATATAAAATGAAAAGACTTAAACAGAGACCTTTTTTCATTGAAGTCAATGGAACACGATTCTGTATTGAAGTCAATAGGGGGTGTTTTTTC